CAAAAAATCACAAGCCGGTACCTGATGAAATACATCGCCCAAGGCAGCGTGATCTTGATATTTCGCTTAACGGGACTGAGTCATACTGTATTGAGCTGACCTACCATAGACGAACGAAAGAAAAAACATCCCCATTAGTTTTGCACCTATGTATTCTGTTACCCGAAAAGTGATTCACTATTATTTCATGAAACTTTAAAGGATGTAGTAAATGTAAGAAGGGTTTGGTCCAGGTATAATAAAAAAATTTAAAAGCTGATGAGTGAGCAACCAGTAAATTATTACAAGAAGCATATCATTCTCTATCGGAAAGAGGCATTCTACAGCACAAGTTAGAAAATAAATTGCAGTTAAAACTCCCCCCGAAGGCAATCTATAGACAATAATATTAGCATATGTGTGATTTTCTATAACTTTTAGAGGGCCCTTGACACTGTTAATAATCTTGTCCTGCCAAAAGACTGGAACGGTTTGGGATAAGAGTTGTTATTATCCACAATATTAAATGGTACTTTTCGTCTCTTGTCTAGTTCCAGGGGAGTTAGGTGGATTTAAAACCTGTGTTGTCAGATGGTAATGCTCTCTCTGTTATGAGGGCTACAGTTTATACCTGTTCGTTCATAGAAATGCAGAGGGCCAGTTTTGTCACGTTTTTTTCGGCAACAGTGCATTTGGGATCTACCGATCGAGTTCAAAGCAAGAGGAGGGATCTAAAACTGTGTTGTTACTCTTTCACTTGCTTCTGTACCATTAGGGTTACGATGACTCCTCTTCTCTCCCGAGACAAAATGACTCGTGGAAATCCAATGTTCTTTCATGTGGATTTTCTAGCTTGTCTTAAATCAGTTTTTCCCCTTACTCCTGAGAAATATAAAAAGTGCTACGTAATTTGTAGCAAATTAAAGCTGGTCTTTCCACGCCATAGGCTTTTAACTTTGCCAGCAATAGCCTATGCGGAAGTGAATCGAACGCTTTACAAAGATCATGGAGGTTACGCCAATCATATTACCGTTGTTGAGTTCTCTCTCTTCCAATCCTCGATCATATGAAGAAGGACTATTGAGCATCTGTAATGTTTTCTTTAGGCCGATAGGTACTTACTTAAGATTCCTCGAGATCAAGTGACAATAATAATGAAGGCACTTCTCGAACACTTTTTCGATAGCAAGTAGAATGAAAACTAGTCTTTGACCGGTTTAATCAAATTGATCGATTCTCTTGAATACAGGGGTCAATTTAATAAAGAAAATATAATTGCAGTTTTTACACGTGTAATTTACACGGGTAAATTCCGACTTGTAAATACAAGGATTTGAAAAACAATATTCCACACTGAAATTTTTACACGTGCATCTCGAGTCAGTACATGAGTGTAAATAAAAATTTTAGAATTACAATTGTAAAACTGAACAATAAGGTTTTTTAGTAGGGAGATGGATTTTAAGAATCAATTGTAATGGTAAATTTCTTTCCGTTAGTTTTAAAAGAGAGTTTTTTTACGGTTAATTTTTTTATGACTAATGGTTAAAATTTGTAAATTTTCACTCCTAACGAGTAATTTTCTTTTAGCTGTTTCACAGCTTACGATTAACCCTATTGAGAACCTCCTACAACGATAGACTCCACTTAAATGTAAGTTTAATTTTAACATATGCAGTTTAAAATCGCTACTTTCCCTTCAATACATGCAGCTTTGTTTCGTTTATTTACAATTTCATTCTTGAACAGTCGTTGAGCATGTTATCCAAACAGCAAAAGTGGCTTCAGGCTTAGCCTGTGAGGGAACATAAAATGATAGTTTTGGCGCCACTTTCATCAACAGTGACAAAGAAAGTAAAGCACGCAGCGTGGAAAAAGTTTCTCACGCAATTAAACGGCGTTGGCGCAAACATGGACAGCGCCCAAACCCTCCGATGTTTTATGGACAAACATTCGCAGGCTAGTTCTACACTAAAAAAGGTAAACGAATCAAGGAAGGCTGGTGTAGGGGGATAGAAGGAATTTGTTCCAAGGAGGTGGAGATATACTAAAAGTTCCTGTCTTGCCGTTACTGCCGCATGCTCTCGTAAGTCTCGTTCTATGCTCCAAACGCGGTCTTATTAATTCGAAAAGGTGGACGGAGGCGTCCACAAGCAGACGAAACATTTCATGAAATTTCCTTAGATTTCCGATTTCGAAAACTTGATGTCTCAGCAGCTCGTCGAGTTCCCCCTCAATAGAGCAGACAAGGTTCTCCGTACCTCAACGATTTGATAGTAATTTTGTTTACATTCAGACTTTTCAGAATATCTGACATCTGTGCTATTCAGGATTCATTATGAAGTTAGAAATTTTCTCTGATTGCTAATACAATGACATCAAAGTTTGAAACTAAGCTGCAACTTGAGACGAAATATTTATTCAATGTTTTTGCAACTTCGACCTTATCTTTGATGAGTGTTCGATTTTCGATAAGACATATTTCCATTTTGTGATCTTCGGTTTTTGAGTGCATAATAAGGCCTGAAGGTATTCCAAAATTCGCTTGGTTCCTTTACGTTTTATCTGCCTTTTACTTCAGGTAGGAGGCAACTTTGTTTCTTGTAACCATTCCAGTCAAAGTCCAATTCTGTTCTAATAAATATCTTATGAAGCTTATTGCTTCTCTGGATGGCGTTTTTTAATACAGTAGTCATGAATGCCACTTGAGGTTTAGCTCGTTTGACTCTTTTCAAAGGATCAAAGTATCACTCGAAGCCTTGGGGAAATGCCTATGTGCTGTCGCGAAAAGCTAACAGAATGATAATATTTGCTTCAACAAGGGAGAATTCATATTAGCCATTTTATAGCATAGTCATAAACAAGCACATCTCGAACTCAGCTCTAATGTTGAGAAAGCTAGTGGAAAATGGGAACCGTGACAGCTGCACAGTGAATGATTTAATTATTCCGCTTTTATACAGAAATAGCAGATTTTAAAGCAGCCGGTATGTAAGGAGGAGACGAAGTTGTAGCGGTAGAACCGCCCTTTAAAATTGTTTTCCTTTTTTCAGATTTCATGTTTATGAGATGTTCCCAATTTATCAAAATTAAAATGACCTTAAAGGAGAAGCTTTGGTTCTTTCGTCCTGGCGCAAGAAAAAAAATGGTTCATGATATTGATATGGCAAGAATGGTCTCTTAAAAATATCTATTAAAAGCGGTAAAAAAATTAAATTACAGCTGATGGTTCCGGAGCACTAGTCCCTTAGAAGCCTTTTTGTAGTCTAATCGTCCTATTCTCGTTAAAAATTAAAAAGGGACGGAAGGAAGAGAAAGAAAAAGAAAATACATAATTTCAGAAGTTTTAATATTGAGACCACACTTTAATGTTGTTACCCTATCTATTTTTTCAGTTTGGTGCGGTATTCGAATTTTAGCTGAAAAACGGGAGGAACACACAGAGATGTGGTTCCATTTTATGCAAAATACTTAAAATTAACAAGTTGATATTTCACTGACAGAGGAGTCTCCACTAAAGCAATACGACAAATGGCAAATATAATCGGAAATAGAGTGTGTTGTTTTCGTAATCGTAGTAATCAGTCTGGTTAGGAACCAATATACTCAAGTTACATAACCAAACCCATTGAATTATGTAAGTAACTAACATATAAAAAGTGTGCTATCGTTTTACTCTACTAGCAGCAAAAATTTTCTGCGGTAAAGGAAAGTTACACCTTTTTTTAAAACCAGGTTAAATCAGTCTCTTGGTGGCGTAGTTGCGATGCCAAAACCTTTTAATTGTCGAACCTGCTTTCAAAATGTCTTAAGACATTATGTAACCATTTGATAAAACTTTCCATTTGCAGCTGCATCAGGGTTCGGCTGGATGAAAGGTCTATTTCATATAAGCTAAAGCTTAGATTAGGTGGGGTAAGTGAGGATCGGCATTTACAGCTAATTTCTTTCCACGAAGATAAGAAGATAATAAAGATTTAACAAATGATGTCGTTAGACAATAATAAATGACAAAGATTGTCAGTTTGACGGCTTCTATTAGATCGTGTGGGTCTCTGTTAAATCGTTTTACAAGCTATATTATAGTCCTTCGTTTTCATTCCATAAGCTAAAGGAAGGTTATTGACGAATTACTTGTAACATGTTTGAGATATGTTCAAATTGTTTTTGATTTCATTATTACACCTCATTTATCACAAACAAATTGAAGGAACCTTGAAGTAAGGGCGAAGGTGAAATAGGAAAAGTAGATTGTACACTGAATTACGGAAGCGAAGACCATGCTCCGGACAGAGTAACTTTGGATGACTCGACTTCGTGATAGAGTTATATATAGGCGATGTTTCCTCAAAATTTTGCACCCATAGACAGACCAACTGAATTCGAGGAACTAGCTAGCTTGTAGTTTAAGTCTTGTCAATTGAAAATTATGAATAAAGGCAATATTACTCGTAGATTTGTTCAAGTTTTGAATAGGATGGTTCGATATTGGCCAAGTTCTGCTTTTACGTTTTGATGAACTCAGATGGAATTGAGGTACATTAAAAAGGAAAAGAGGAAACAAGAACGAGAGAAAGGCCAATATTCAGCCATCTTGACCGAACAAGCTTGCTCAATAAAGGATAATTTACATGACAAAAAAATTATACCTAGATTTGTAACTATTGAAGAGATCCATGAAACCCGGTGTGGTTTCCTTGCTAAGTCTGTTGAACGACGCGTTTGGGGGAGAAACTATTGGGTACACACATCTTTAGATTGAACTAATCTCCCATCCAGCTCTACCATCCAGCTCTACCATCCAGCTTTACCATCCAGCTCTACCATCCAGCTCTCTCGGTGCAATTCAAATGAAACAGGACGATCAAAACGAGAAGTTTTTTCTACAAAAGAGGAAAATGACTTGTTTTTGAAAGTGAAACGTAATCATTGATTTCCTTTTCAGAAATATGATGTGAGGGTAATGGCAAAAAGTCGATCATCAGAGGCTTGGAATTAAAATACAAGTGGTTGATATCAAAATGATGAACATAACCAAAGATAAAAACAACACCAATGTTCAAGAGTTTTCTTGCACCACTGGAATTCATCAGGAAATTTATCAGAAAGTGTTCATCATGTCATTACATATTATTGTGTCACTCACAGCATTTTTGGGAAATTCTTTGATCCTCGTTGCCCTTCGGAAGGAGTCATCCCTTCATCCGCCATCAAAGCTTCTATTTATTTCCCTTGCATGTACCGATCTCTGTGTTGGTATCATCTCGGAGCCCATTAACTTCATATTATTTCTTTCTCAAGAGCATTCAAAATTTTGTCTCATCACAGAAATGATTGCTAATGCAGTAGCGGGAACGTTCTGTGGGGTGTCTCTTGCAACACTGACTGCAATAAGTGTGGACAGACTTCTGGCCCTGACGATGAGACTGAGATACAGAAGGGTGGTCACAATAATGAGAGTTAGAAGTTTTGTTCTTTCCTCTTGGATTGCAAGTTTTATGGCTGCAGTAATTTTCGTCTACGACATACATCTTGCCGTAATCATCTCCAGCATAGGGATGACTTTTTTATTAGCAATTTCTACTTTCTGCTACTGGAACATTTACAAAAGACTTCAACGTCGACAGACCAAAGTACACGTACAGAATATTATTATGGTATATCGAGGAAAGGAAGGGAGAACAGGACGTGGAAAAAGAGAATGTCCAAAAGGAAAAGGAGCGAAGGAGGAAACAGGGGAAGAGGTCAGTGGGAGGGGAGGGAGAGTTGCAGAAAGGGGAAGTTTGAATATCGCAAGATACAAAGAGACAGTGTCTAGTGCACTGTGGGTGCATTCAACATTACTTGGTTGTTATCTTCCATTTGGCATAATTTCAGCTACACTCGCAATTACTGGACAACGAACTCCTTTACATTACTTCGCATGGGATGTAGCAGGATTGATCGTCTTCTCTAATTCGGCTCTGAATCCATTTCTTTATTGTTGGAAGATAAAGGAAGTGAGACAAGCAGTAAAGGACGCGATAAGACAGTTGTATTGCTGTCCTTGTTAACTTTAACCTTGTGACGTCATCTTTGATGAGTTACCTCTTGACAATGAATCAGTGAAAATAATAAAAAAGAAACCCTGTGTTCCTAATTCGCTATTCCATCAGGGATTTATCGACGCAACTTAAACTCAACTGACTTATAATTGGAAAGGAAGGTCACTGTTGGAGAATTTTTAAACTGACCATGTAAAGCCATGTTTGTTTGTCGCACAGCACTGTGATGACGTGCAATCTTGTGCTTCTCGCGGCGCACAACTTGACAACAATAGAGTTAATTTTAGTGGAGAATTCCTTATAAGTAGTTTCTGGACGAACATTCGCACAAAAGTTGACATTGAAATGATCATTAGTCGGAAAATTTTGCAATTAGATTCATTATATATGTTTATATATTGACCAAGCGTCTGGTTACGATGACTGGATGTTGGACAAAGTCTTTCTTTGCTTTTTTATGGACTGAGACGACTGACACAGTCACTTTAACCAATTCATCTAGAGCCTTTTTATGAAGAAATGGATGCACCTGCTATTGCTCGTTATTTACAAACCGTTACAGAGCTCCAACGGTTTGTAAATGGCAGAAACTCTGATTTAATGGCACGACGACGAATACAAAAAGCAAAAAAACTTTCGTTTAACACAATCTTCATAAAGGACCACCAGCCGGAAAATGACATGTATGTCTCTTACAGAAGGATTGTTTATTAACGAAACAACGCAAAATGCTTTTCTTAAAAGTGCATAGCCCGAAAAGGGACCGGTGGGTTGTCTTATAAAAAGTAACGAACGGTTCGGAGATTTTTTACCGGCTGCAAAAAGGTGGCTGAGAGATTCTGAGTTTGTTGAGAGGATTTTAAGGGGTTGATCACTGTCCTTCAAATGGCCAAAAAATTAACCAACAAATCATACAAAGGTGAAAGTGCATGCTTAATATCGCTAAACGTTAATTAGGTCAGGGAGTAATAGCCTTACCAGGAACTAAAATAGAGTCATGGGTATCCTGAGTATAAACGGTTGCCTTAAATCTCTACAAAAGCATTAACATCCAGGTCGCAAAGGTTGTAAAAGGAATGTATGTGACTTATCGCAATGCAATCACTTACGTATTCGTCTTCAAACTGCGCTGCTAAACAAAGTTTTAGCAGCGGGAAGGGCACCTAAACCTCTCTTCTGTCCTCTCTCTTTCTTATGGATGAGGAAAGAGATTCACCTCTAGCATAAAATAAAATGAGCACAAAGATGTGGACAGACTTTAATTAGAATTTATTTAACTCGTCCCCAATCGTCTTCACAACGTGCGCGGCTCGATAATGAATTGAGGGAGAAAGATTCCAAGGTTGATCGCTGTCTCCCTAACCATTACGACTCGATTAGGAAGACAAACTGGGTCGAGTTAGAAATAGAGATGCATTTCTACGTTTCACTCTATATGAACAAGTATCTGCCACTGAATAAACCATAAACTAAAATCACACCAAAAGTTGAATTTGTTTATGTTTCAATTATGAAACCGATCCGCTGGAAAAATTTGGAGATGAATTTCATAGTACATAGAAATTAAAAAACGTCGGGTCCGTGCCTTTAGCAATCGATTGACTTTCCGTCTACAATTAACGCAAACGGCTGACATTTACATGTATCAGGTTTGGAAAGCGTTTTCAAAAACTCCGTTTTGTATGTGAAATTAACCGGTTTCACCGTAGACGGAGCCCAATTTTAATTGTATAGATTTTTCGATATGATATCAGGTGAACACGCTGCATACTCGTTGGGCCGGACAATTGAATAAATCAATAGTGGTTTAGCGTGGTCTGCCCTCTTATCGACAACCATATTCGTCATCACAGTCGTCAATAGGGACCTTTAGCAAACTACGACTGCGACGAGGACGTGGAAAAACCAAAGATCCAATGAGCAGAACAATAGCTCAGCGCGTGCGTTTTAAAACTGTGTACATTTCTTAGCCGTCCTCTGCAAAATAACAATGTGAAATAATCAAAATTCGCTTGGTCCGAGAAAGGAAACCCCGAATGCAGATTATTTAATTTTCCATATGAATTCAGCGCCGCTCTCATACGTTATGCTGAGGTTAACTTGTGGCGCCGTAGGAGATGATAAACACATCCATTCATTCGCGAAATTCCAACTGAAAATATGCATTCATTTTCTTCCTTGGCGTTGCCGTCCTAACTGCTAAAGGTCCCTAATGTTGTGGACTCACGAGGCGCAGCCGAGTGGGTGTGCAACAAATCTTAACCGCTGTGATGACGAACCTCTTTGTCGATAAGAGGATAGACCACGCTAAACCACTGTCAATTCATTTTTTACCAGAATATCGACATCAAATAAAACGATTTATCCAGTTCGTGAACATTACGTAACACGTTGACGATAGCAACGTTGTCTGTACTCTTATCGAAAACGGCAAATTGGCCAACCAGATTGCGACATTACTGCTAATTGTTTGCAAAATAATGTGCGATCAGCAATTGAATACAAGAAAATATATGTAAAAACCGACTGAATTAGAAAATTGACAAATATGTACAATCAAGGATAAACTCCGACAATCTATTTCTGTGTCCTGGAACAGAATACATAATACATAATATATTACATAAAATATTTACAATATCGACATAGAATGTATCAAAGAATACAATTTCTCTAAAACATCACAAATTTGAGGGGAACTATAAGATAAATGTTCAAATAAATCGAAGCTCTTGCCGCCATTTAAGAAGCAGGCCCCAGTTGTTCGAAAGCCGATGAAATTATACCTAAATTAGAGGTTAATCGACGATTAAATTTATTACCCCTAGGATAGCTAATCTTGGAGTAAAATAACGTTCCTGGAAGCAGATTTATCCTTTGATTAACCATCCCACGATTAAGCTGAGATTAAACCAGTCAAACCGGTTATTAAGAGCTACGCGGCTACACGCTAAAAATAAAATTGGAGGCAAAAAAAAATTAAAATGGCGGCAAGTGAGAATGCACATGAAAGTGGAAGCCAAACGAAAGACATTTAATCGTGTGTCAGCGCTAATCGGCTTTCGAACAACCGGGGCCAGATGTTTTGAAGTTGTTCTGTACAGTTTGGCGTACGGTCATAACTTTTCCATTGTATACTTCATTCTAATCGAAAATGTACTTTCCTCTAATAATATTGGGTAAAAAAATATCACGCAGTGAGTCATGCCAGTTTTGAAAGTGATTTTGATATTACTTATACAATCACTGAACCGGTAGTCTCAAATGAATCGAGTGGCTGTCAACCCTGTTTGAGAAACACAGGACAATGTTTTAGCCCCTAAAACGCTAACTGCTCCTAAAATAGAACGTAAAAAGACATACATCCACGAGATGGATTTCCTTTAAAAATATAAAGTTCGTTAACCCTTTCACTCCAAAGAGGTAAATATAATTCTCTACGCTGTCTGATATACATGTATTCAATTTCAGCTCTGTGAATTTGGTGTAAACTCAAACGATATCTTGTATTGTGTTTCTCTCCTTCTTATCATCTTCTTTCTTATGATGTATTTTTACTCTGACGTAAAAAGTATTTTTCTTCGTCACTCCCGGGAGTGACAGGGTGATTATGTGGACATTATTCTGCTTACAAGAGAGGTTTCCGGAATTTCTCTTTTTTGTTACTCTGCATGGCATGAATCAACTTCTCCCAGAACCATTTGTCTTTGATGCTGAGGTAGGTGTTGGTGCGTAAGTACAGCTTTATTTCTCCATCCAGCTCATCCAAAGTCACATCATCAAACAGAATAACGATCAGTTTAAGGCGATCCTCCAGCACTTTGTGGTGCGCTGTACGAAACTCTAACATACACCACTCACTCTGTAAGAAGGTGCGAGATAACACTATGAGCATACGGTTACTCTTTTCCACGCTGTTCAAAATGTTTTTGACTATTGGTGTACCGATTTCAAAGTCCCGGTGGTGAATGCACAGTTTAAAAATTGGATGACGTTTTTCTAGTCGTTCTTGTAGTATATTCACAACCCAGTGGCGGTCATTTTCGCTGTAGGATACAAACGCATCGTATATCTTCGTTGAATCCGAGTCATTTTTGCCCCCAAACGGCCACCGGTTTAGGTGGGTGTTAATGATTGCTTTGAGTTCTCTTCGGTAAACATGCACGAGAATAGAAATGATTATGGATATGGCCAATAAAGTTCCAAGGACAGCACTAGTGATGACTGAGGAAGTAGGATTCGGAGTGTTAGTTGATCTAACACTGTGACCCACCGTTCCATTGCAGCCAAATCTCTCGTCAGGCAATATGTAAACTGCTTTCTCCCCCATGGAACTGTCCAACTTACAAAGAATATTTTCGACTCTCTCAACCTGACCATTATCGTTAAGATTCTGCAGCCAGTTTTTCATCCACTTCGTTGAACAATTACAATCAAAATTATTATCATGTAACGCAAGATTAGTGAGAAAAAGATTCTCGATGTTTCTAGGAAGTGTTGTCAAATTGTTTGAATCCATATGGAGAATCCTGATCCTTTCGAAGCTGTCTACTACCACTTCATTTAATCGTTGGATCTCGTTGTGCGTCAAATACAAAGCTGTAAGGTTTTTCAAATAAGGATGTCTTGGTATATCTCGGATGTAGTTGTTTCGTAAGTTGAGCTGAATTGAATCACTACTTGGCAGTGTTTTTGGCATTATGTCGAGTTTCCTTCCTTGGCAATCAATGACAACAGTTTGATCTGAACATCTCTCAAAACACGAGCATTTCTCAGGGCACTGTCTCGGTTCATTTTGCTTAATCAAATCATTTGCGTTAGTTTCAAGGATGGTTTTGTCCCTCATTTGTTCGGGCCAAGCACATTTCCAAGATCTGAAGCGCCTTTTCGAGCCAGGATTATTTTTAGAGAGGAGTTCTATCTTGCGCTTGATAGCTATTATACTACAATCGCATATGAGAGGATTACCCTCTAAATTGACCTCGTAAATTTCCAAGAAACGAGAAAGCTTCAGTGCATCAGGTTCCTTTACGCCTTGCATGCTCAACGACGTAAAGTTGTTGTTTTTCAAATCGAGTAGTTTAGGCTGAGTTTCCTGGAACGAGACGTTGTCTGTCTCAAAATCTAAATTTTCTATAAGATTGATAAGATCTTGAAAGGTTAACGCGTTAAAAGAGAGATCTATTTTTGACACATTTTGAAGGCGAAATAAAGAAATGGGAAAGTAGGAGAGAACGTTATTTTGAAGGTAAACCTCTCGTAAACTATTTGAAAAAGCACCTTCTTCGATTGTTTTGATTCTGTTCCCTTCTAAATGTAGAATCAGAAGTCTTTTGGAGGAGTTAAACAGTCCACCAGCGATTTTCCTGATCTTGTTATGTCCCAAAGTAATTTTCATGATATTTTCTGAGCCTCTGAATAATTCCGCCGGAACAACAGATAAGTTATTCTCATGCAGCTGAATTTCGGTCAGAGAGTTTAAGCCATGGAACAACTGGGATGGGAGTTCTTGAATATTGTTCTTACTGATATCGATCGCCTGAATTCCGCTCAAATTCTGAAAGCTTGTCGCTCCAATTGTTTGCAAACCATTTCTGGTAAGTGAAAGTTTGTGCAGAAATCCGTGGAACTCGTGCAACGATAAATCTTGAATGATATTGCCATCTAGTCTTAAACTACGCACATAATTGTCCGCATCGACGCCACTACCTCCAAGTGTCTTTACCTTTAACCCTTTCGCTCCTATTAAACCATGAGGAAACTTTAAAGCGGTATTATTCCAGGGAAAGATGGGTGGCTGGGTCAATTTATTAAATCGTAGGTCGAGTGTTTGTAGTCCAGGCATTACTGTTTGTAGTTTCTCTGGCATTCTTTTGAGTGAGAGATTTGTCAACGCGAGTTCTGCCATTTTCGACCTTACACCCGTAATTTCGGAGAGTGCATCCAATATAGCTAGGGTGAAATTGCTATCAAGCGATAAGGCTCTCAAGCTTGCCAGACTTTGAATTTCACTTTCAAATGTATAATCCTTTAAAAGTTTTGGAAAACGTCCATTTTTTCCTTCTTTAAAGCCAAGTCCGTGAAAATCAGTCACGTTTGACCACAAGGCAAGATTTTTCATTGAGACGTGACACGGTCCACTGATGATCAAAGTCAACATTGTAAAGTTGTCGGCCACGTTGTGCGAATTATTAAAAACGATTTCCGCCGGTTCGCGGCACTGTATATGTACAGTCAAGAACAACAATCTGTCATTTTTTATGCGAGGGTCTAATGCAGTGCTTAGGTCAAACTGGTGCTGGGCCCCAGTGTGTGGCATGATAGAACAGTTTACCTGTTTTTTTGGTACTGGATTGCCTTGTCTGGTCTTGAATGAAGATGGATAGAGTTTTCTCAGGCATTGCATCATGTCTGTTGACGTTTTACTTTCGTCATGGCCATTTGAAGCTTCTATCAATAACAGAAAAATTATGGTACGCAGCAAAAGCGTAGGGCTCCAAGTCATCTTTAGGTGGCGGTCAAATGAGTGAGGTCTATTCGGGGCCTGCAAAAAATTAACGGCGCTATCTTTAAATTTATTTCAAAGTATGATTAGCGTCATAACATCCCTATTACAAGCGGGGTAAGACTTGCTCTTGAATCATCAAACACAGTCATGTATAGTGTAAAAAGAGCAACTAACACGACAAATTTAAAAAAGAGACAAGGGTAGAGGTTCACTCACCACTGTCTTCTTCAAACAGTTTCCCCATGGCGTCCATGAGTTGTGGAAAAAGCTATCACTTTTATCGGAAGTTTGCTAAGTTCAGAACACGAAGCTAAAGAAAACTGAAGTTAAGAAAGTTTGATTTATACCTTTAGACAAACTCATCTATTTTTGGAAAGTTGAGTCAGTGTCAGAGTATTCACTTATGATAAGCCGATAAGGATATGATATCAGATATACAAAAAAGATTCCACATATAAGTTTTTTTTCAAATTTTCAGTCATCCATGAATGTTCAATCCAAACAGTCAAGCGTGCACCTCCACACATCTATTTATGTTTTCCATCACGAGATTTAATATTTTTCAAGTATTAAATCCAATATCAAAATCAAGTACAAATGAGCCTTGTATTAATAACATAACGTTTAATAGCCTCTCACTCGGAGCCCTGTGCTGCATGCTTGTTTTGACGTTTTCGGAGTTTCCAGGATGTTGCACTAGCTTGAGGCAAGTGAGGTCAAAATACTTGACCACCCTTTATCTTGACTCTAGCTCTTAAACAAAAGGCAAATATTATTTTTAAATCAAGGAAATTTCCATAATCAACCGGCCTGGTCTCTGATGTAACGCATCTGCTACAATTTGTAGACGTTATTCGGTCGAAAGATTTTCAACTTCCACATATTGTTCCCCAACAATGACACTAAGTCAAACCAAGGGTATACATGATTTGCCTGATTGTCATAAGCTTCTTAGATTTCTCATAGAGTCTAAGAGACATCGCAAATAAAACCAACACGATAATTAAAAGGAGCTTCCTGATTTACAAGATCGTTATCACATTTCTGCTCCAGGGGGAAATTTAATTCCTCGTTAATAAAAGGACAGTGACATAATATTAGACTTGTTTATATCAGGCCACCTCTGCCTGTTGGGGCGCATCAAAAGAACCCATGCAGAGTACACGTTCCACGCACTTTTTTTCGCTTTATCCCTTGACCTCAAAGAGTGACAAGCATCAAATTTCTCCTTACAATTTCACCCCTAAATCACACGTTAAGGTCACGAGAACAAAGGAAATGATCACCAATTACAGAGGCTTCTCGTTGTCAGCACCTTAAGAAATGTATAGAGAATAGAATGGAGAATATGCATCCTGATGTCATGGTGTATCAAAAGACTACGTAAAGCGTTAGCGGCAACAACACTAATTAACCATATTTCAGCTTGAATTAAGGCCGCAAAATAAAAGTCCTTTAGCCTCAGCAGAGGGGAGACTGCCAAATGATGTTTGCTTGTGATTTACTCGTTGTAAAAGTCGTATTTAAGTTGTAGCTTTCTCAACTGGAAATGTAAAATCATGATGTCCGCGCCAGAGGTACTAGAGAGAAAACAAACACGAAGGCAGCCGCGTCATAGACTTCCGGTCGATAAAAATACTCAAACTACCATGCCGATCAACTCGTTTATCAATAAGAAATGCGCTTACTATTGCAAGACATGACTTCACCTCCTTGCATTTGAAGCACAATAATACGGAAGCAAAAATAGAAATACAGACAATTTCTATAGATTACAGAAGTGGACGGAACCACGCACGGCCAGAATATTACGTCAGCAACATCCGCTGTGCCTTAACTTCCATGTTTACATGAACTCATTTCTGTTGACAGTAGATGAACACGCCACTAATGGACGCTAAACCGGAATATTCAAAATAAAAGTCTTATTTCCGAAGGTCAAAAAGGATGTTTATGACTAGAGAAGATTGAGACAGACCTCAAGTCACACATCATAAACCGTGATATAGCTTACGTGACGTGTATGACAAAATTTTGACGGACGGGGAGAGGATCAGGTCTCATTTGGTGCAGCTTGGATAGGTTGCAATGGGCAAAAATGATTAGGTATGAAAACTGTAAGTACGCGAGCACTCACATCCTCCGTACTTCCCATAAAGCCTCATCCCATCGATAGCCTCGTTAATCGCAAAGAATATTCTTTAGAATAACATTAAAACTTCTCAGTCGACAATCTGGCACATACTCGATTACAAATAATATCAGTTGGTATTTAATCAAAATATATACATTAATCGAAAAAAAAAAAAAAAGGAAAACGAAATTGTAGAGACTATATAAATAGGCTGAAGTACTACAGCTACCGGTCAGTCAAACACAACAGTCATTAGTTTTGTAAATGTACGTGATGAGCATTGCAAATTTTCGGCAGTATCCGGCATAAATAAGTTAATAAAAGGGTACGAATCTACCCATTCGTGCACATCTCTAGCAAACGTTATTCGTAGCACATCAAATTTTCAGACTCGCGGGATCGAGCAAACCTACAGCATACTATGACAGGCTATTAGCAGAGAAAGGTCCCTTCATCCATAGAAGCGTGCATATAATGGAACAAGAAAAAAACAAACAGATGAGGCCTCCGTAAGAAAAAACTTCACATTAATTGTCTTTGTTGGATTCATCTTGTCTCTGAGCAAGAAGATAACGGAAACAGATAAGTAACTACTAAACGACCAACAGTAATTTCTCGTTCAACAAGATCCCTTGATGTTCTTGACGCTTGTTGAGCGATGGACAAGTTGTCAGCAACTTGGACAGGTTGAACACAACATCCAACACCAATTATTTAGCACTCTTCAAGTTTGGTTTTCCTGAAAGAAAGGAAAAAAAAGATTCACTCCAAATACAAACGTGGACCAAATTAAAGTACAGGAAGTTTAAGAGTAAATATCAAAGGCGGATGCGTTTAAACCTTCACGGAGAGGCATGCTCTTAGAAATTCGAACCACCGATACCACTTTTTCATTTGCTCTCAGTCTATCAGATGACCTGCATTCTTGACAAAGGGTCACGTAACAACGCAATGGTAAAAGTTGACAGTTGCCATGGCTTGCAACACTAATCTTGATGGGCTTTCTGTGGTGCGCTGGTCTGAGCACGAGTTTACAGCCAGTTCTGATTTCGATTTGTGGTCAGTCTAGCTACCGAAATATGTTTGTTCCTATGAACACGTCTACAGTACGTTGGTCAGCGGTAGCGAAACAATCATACGTAGCATTGACAGAGTGGACCGCATGCTTTGAAGTGTGTTGAAGTGGGAATTTTCTTCTGTAACGGTGAGAAAGCGCACCTCAGGAAATGTATTCAGAACAGTATGGAGAATAAACACGCTGACGTAAGGGTATCAAGTGCTAAAAACAGTGAAACATTCTTTTTAAGATGGATATGTCAATGAGGCATAGAGGAAGGATAAGGAACTCACCTCAATTACTTCCTCGACACACTTTATCACATGAGCTATGTGTTTGCCTCTGAACCCAGCGACTCCAGCAGCCGCTTTTGCTTTCCTTAGGTAAACAATCAATTCTTGTCTGCAAAAAGAAAATCGCATGTCAAATAAACAGCAGGACCATTTTTGACATGAGTGCTTCGAGGGTCAAACAACAGTGAAACGAGATAGGTAGTAACATTATCGAAGTACAAATATCTATTTTACTCAAGGACCTGTTCAAAATTCTTGCAGTTCAGCTTCAGTCATAAATCACCATCAAGGCTCTAAAGCGCATGTTTCATATGTAGTCTTCATGAACTAATTAGAGCAAGAAGAAAAGCTGTTGCAATAACTATGTGGACCTGCATGTATGTGAGGTTTACCAAGAAAGCGCCAAGTTACAAAGACGCGAGTCGCTGGCATTTAATGTCACCTACTTCCGCATTCCCAAGCGCTTCCTATACAAGCGGTGTACACAGCTCTCGCTCAACATCTAAACTAGTTCACCTGCTCTTATCTGGAAACCTTTTATGAAGCCTCTCCATCAGCTTCTCAAACGAAGAGAATTTTCCAGCTGGACGAGCTGGAGGCGAGAAATGTTGCTGATCCTTCGCTGGTACAGGTTCGGTACAGAGGCCAGGAGGAGGTCGCAGCGGTTTACAACTATCAGGCAAATTATTTTCTAAGGTAATTTTGGGTTGAACCACAAGGCCTGCCAGGTACTGGGCTATAATGTGCGTGGGGAGACCAGAAAAAGGCTGAGGCTGAATAGGAAGGAACTGCTGAAGTGTTTGATGTTGACCTGTTAAGTTTGGTACTGCTATGTTAGTAGGTAAGATAGGATTGCGACCATCTGAGGAAGACGATTTTTGTGCTGCACGTTGGTCCTCAGCCTCAGCAGATTGCTTTGTTGCATATCCTTCATTTCCATTCCCTGCTTTTGGCGAAACATGAGACAACAACAAGTTGTTTTCCGGTTGAGTTGTTGAGGATTCTACATTTTGGAAAACTGTCTTAGAGATATCCTGAGGAGAGGGTGTTTGAATAACTTCTTGGATTCTTGTCTCTTGCTCTGTTGGCGCTACAGTTTCCCCATTCTCTGGCGAAGCCATCCCACAGTCCGCATAATTCAAAGCTTGCACAGTAGTTTCTCCACCGTGCAGCCGGGTGCCATCACCATTTCTTTGTCTGAATGACGATAGTAGACTCACCTCGTTGCTGACGCACATTTCGTCCGATCCAACAGAGGGTGGATTTCCATCTCCTTTTTTTCCACATATTTGTTTAAACAAAGTGCTCCTTGATTTTTTACTAGTGTAAAGTTTCCATCCACCGTCAGTCTGATCATTCAAAGCTTCTTTTTGCGAGCTGTGACTTACAGCTTTACGGTGAGTGGCGCTATTTTGAGGGCAAATATCAAAGATGTAAACGAGATTTACAAAAAAAGAATAAAAACTAAAAAAAAATAAATAAAAAAATGAAATAAACTCTTAATTTGAATTCAGCCAGGCAGTTTTACGATAGGTTATGGCAAGACGAGAAAAAAAATCAGTAGAGGAAGCGGGTTTATATTGCATTCATTCCAAGAATATAGTTAAAACACATTATTACCAGCTGTCGCCAGCAGTCATACCTTCAGGGAGGGCGATAAGGATACGCTGTACCAATAACCATGAACATCCTTAGTTCCCATCACGAAAATTTTCACGTTGTGGCCAATTCACATTATCAACTCAGTTGATAATACCAAATTATTGGAAAGTTACGTATGGAGAGTTCAGCACTACTAAACAGATTATTAAGATAGTGTTCAAAAGACTTGAGATTTTGCATGAGTATTTTCTTTCTTGGGTTCACATAAGTGCAATAGGAAAAAATGTTTGATATTGAATTGTTTTCATAGAGCATTGTTTTTCTGAGTACTTACCATGTACTGCACTCGCTATTCTCCCTCATACTGGAAAACAAAGTTTTCGTCTCCTCGAGTTGTTCCTCTACAGTTTTGAGCTTTTCAGATTGATCTTTTATTATCGATCTCAGGCCTTGAATGGCGACTTCCTTTAGCTGTAGAGCGCCTTTAGTGGACTTTAGTTCCTCTTCCTTTGACTTTAAATCCTTCATCGTTCTCTTAGCTTCTGTTTCTTTCTGTTTCTTCACCGTCTTTAGATCTTTTTTTAGTTTCTGGAAATTAGGTGGATACAACTTTAGTTGTAACTTATTAAAAAGATTTATGACAAAGCAATATCGAACAGTTTAAGCACTTATCAGTTTACAACTTTCCAATAAATAATGGGAAAATTGATGATAAAAGTAAAGTTTTTAGGTTAACGATGTTCTTGATCATTGAATCCCACACAAGCGGTCAAGTAAATCATCTCGTAAAGAGAATTTCCTCGGAGCAAAACCAACAGCAAAGTAATCACCGCAGCCAATCAGAACAAAGAAAAATACTAAAGGAGCCACTTGGAACTCGAAGTGAAAACAAATAAACCGGCTCAAGGGCGGGAAACACGGGTAACCAAGTGACGATTGGTTTTAGTTTTGAATCTGATTGGCTGAGAAAGTAGCGCGAGTTTTCTAGGCCAATCACAGAGCGATGTAAAGCAAAACCAGAATAATCCTATGTTACTTTCGACACCCAAAAAAGTTGCTCTCGTGCATCAAACTAATCTAAAAAGTTCTCTCTAATGTCTCGATCTTTCTACAAAGCGCAAGCTTTTGCCTTTGGCGTCACCTATCAACACGCGGACATTGCTGGTTAGTCGCTAGCCCCTGAAAGCAATCAGCTCTCCAGAGCGAAGCAATCGAATTCAAAGCTGTTTATTTGAAATTCACTTTTTTTGTTGTTTTTGTTTTCCAAGAGCCACCACTTTACATTTGCTGTGAGCACCATCGGGAGCCCCGCCCTTTCCCGCATCCCGAAGCTCGCTCTCCCTAAAAAGGGAAATAACGTATAGATTTAGCCAAGCCTAAAAGCGGAGCTCGCATTTTTCTTTTCCCGCACGTCTCAACGCCTTGCCCCGGCCAGGACTAGAACCCGGGTCGTCTGACCACTGGACTACTGAACAAAGCTGTGGCGTTGGCGTGCCCGCGGTACAGTTAAAAGGTACGCATGTTAAAAGTAGCACCTTGTACGGTCGTACGGTCGTACATCCAAATTTTTTCGGCTTGATGGGTTACTACTATTTTGTGTAATTATGGGGCCACGCTCTGCGAGCTCCGCTATTAATTTTCACGGGGAGAGCAAAAAACATACTGCTTAGTGTCAAAATACGACTCGTTACTTTACTTCTACGTGTTGCCTACCCACAATGAATATTATGAATAATGTGCATTCCTAAGGGTTGGAAAATATATAATACTGCAGTTATACTGGAAGCTAAAAAAGCTTCCAGATCCGCGCATATTTTGAGATGTTGCCAACTTAGTTGATAAAACCAAAATTATCTTGTTATAATCCCCAACCGACGCAGCACCGAAGTTTCTTTAGCAACTTACCCTGTTTATTCATCATTAGTGGTTCCTATACTCAACACAAATGGTCTTTTCAAGAATTTAGGCTGCTGTTAAAACCTTAAGACAGTACAAGTACGTAAATGACATCGAATGGCTTTTTGGTGATGGTATGTCACTACCAAAATCCTAGGGCAAGCAGTATTAGGTAGTCACGACAATGGTGCGCACACATTCATGTACACCTGAATGCTCTATCCTTCTCTACAACCTTTTCAAGGTGGTACTGGAGACTAATTTGGGGAATTTTCGACAATTTTTGGGAATAAAATATCTAATGACGGATTTGTTGCAATGACTTAAATTTTAACATATGATTTTACATATAATCAATCCGAGAGAAAAATACTTTAATTTAGCTCAGTGTCATTGGATTTGAGGAATTTAATGGAATTGAGGCGTGTGTCCCAAAGGGCACTCTGAGGAAGAACTTCTCTAAATCCGAGCCAATTAAATGTTATTAGGAATGGTTTGGTACATGCACAAAAATTAAGGCAACAAAGATTTTCAGCGCAGTCCGCCATATAATACTTTACTCTGACGAATTTATCCAAATTATGTCATTATTAAATTTAGGTTGAGATCAAATACCTTCATATTCGGTCAATTCGTGGCTGACCGTGGCGGACTACGCTGTAAATTTTCCTCATCGTATGTAGTTTAGTCTGCCAATTTCAGATCGTAAGAATAAATTTTTCCCGAGATAATGCTGTTGCAGTGACATGACACGATTTAGCTGCACTAATTCATTTGCAAAAAGTGGCAAAATCTTTGGCAGAATTCATCAGAGAACCCAATAGCGCAATGTAGATGGTCATAATCGCCATATTTGTCTTGCTGGTTTTGCCGCGAAACCTTACAGAACAGGAGTTTATAGATATTTGCGCCATTCGTAGCAACGACACCTATCCTGCGGTGTTCAGACAATCTTGGCACCCATGCTGTGCATTGGTAAGGGATGGAGAAACATCACGAAAGGAGAGGTAGCAGTGAATTTTTAGACTTTCTCTTACAGAAATTGACGTCACTTGGCTGGGAAGTGAAGAGAATGAAAGGGCGTCATCAGGAACCACAAAAATACGAGGTGGTGTGGGCAACTTTCAATCGATTGAACGTAGTGTGACAAAATAAAATAAATGGTTATTCGATCGCTTATGGTTGCGACGCTTCCCGAAAATTAGAAATATCGGACATTTCTTAACACGAACAGGCTAACGAAAGCATTTTTGTGTTTTTGCTGCCTGGAAAATATAAGTGGTCAGCTACTGTTAAGCTCTTTCCATACTTGCATCCCTGGTAAAAATGCACTTCGTGTTTCATTACCGAATGGTTACTTATGAAATGGATAAGTCAGAAATGTAATCTAAAGGAAATACCGCATGAATCGCAAACACCGATTAGACCAGGATCGTATCTCTATTTTGCCTCGAGATTCGTCTTTCGAAACGAAACTTTTATCGCATGTATTTCGAAAACAACACGTTTTCCAATCGCAAAAATAAACAATAATCTTTAAGTACCATGGACTACCTCAATTTCCTCTGTCTGGCTCTTTAGTTCCTCCTTGAGTTCCCCCATGACTCTTTTGTAGTAATGTTTAGTATTGGCTGACACATCCTTCTCATTCTGGAGGCTATCTTTGAGTGCCTCACAAGCATTCCGTTCTGTTAGGAACAGTTCTTTGTAACACAGCTCTTCATCATTGCCAGCAGCATTGTCATCAAGTTTCCATTCCTTAAATTCCTGTTCAAATGCTTCCCTAACAGCATCTACTTGTACCCCTGTGGTACGTTTGAAAAGACCAAGGTCTTTTTCGCAAGTCTGACTGCAGTAATCTGCTGTATTTACTTCCGTTTGAGCGCTAGCTTCACGGGTAAAAACAGCTGTAGGTTCTCTCTTTAGCGACTTGTCAGAGGAGCAAGTTTCACTACTACGCGGGGGCCTAAGAGCATCCACTGATGCAGCGGTAGTGACTACCTTCCCAATTTTGATGCCATTCCTCTTAGCTAGCTCCTCAAATGTGTCCGCCGTCCTACATGCTGGAGGTATCAGTGGACTGCCTTCTCTGCATGGATAACATAAATTATCTTCACTACTTGCAGGTGACAAAGAAGAACAGGATGAACTGTCTGGAAATTTCCCAGTCACTTTGATATCTTTAACACGTCCGAATTCTTGAAAACTTACAATTTGGCAGTGCTCCCCGAAAAAGTATGGTGTCCCTGACCAGCAGTCATTTTCTTTAGCATGTGTTGATGTAAACGATTCCTTACCGTCTGAATAGAAAGGCGATTCCTGTCTTTTACCACCCACTCTAATTCCATTTAACCGCGCCATTTCTTGAAATTTTGCAATCTGGGCATCTTCCAAAAATTCTGACCCATCTGCATCTATACTTTCTACCACATCCGATTCACAAGAGATGGTGGATAAACGAGTTGTACGTAACGAGTTTCCGACTTTGATTCCTTTGTGGTGCGCGATTTCTTGAAATACAACTTCTGCATCTTCCTGCAAAGAACTCAAAACATCTTCATTATCAAGTTGGTCTTCCCTTGCATTGTTTGTACCTCCATCAGAGGCTGTGCCTTCCTCGCTGCACGTAGTTGTTGCTTCCATCTCTTCACTCACTTCTGATGAGCGTGCTTTTTCGTCATACTTGTGGATTTTTGATTTGTTTTCACTGTCCTCACCGAAAATTTCTCGCTCTGGTCTAGTATTTTCATCCGTATACTGCAATATAGTGGCATAACTCTCAGCTTCATTGGCATGCTCCACATTAGTAGTGGCACTGTCGCTGTCTGCTGATACACATGTAACTAAATCACCCATTCCCAACACTGTTTCAGAGTTCTCGGAACATTGCTTTCCCAACTGGGTAAGTTCAGGCTTTTGGCTTTCATTCAACTCGGTGACATATTGAACTTTGATGCCACTCGCAGCTGCTTTGATCTTGAAAAGATCAAGTGTGTTAGTGGTAGCAGATGACTCATATCTAACTTCATTCCCTATCACTCCTTTTTCCTCAAAACATGTATCATTGTGATTATTGTTCGGTTCAAAAAAGTTGCCGACTGGGGAAGGTGAACCACTTTCCCATAGAGATGAGATGTGAGATGTTGACATACACATCCCTTCACAATGTCTGGTAACTGAATCGTCTGTTGGATTAGTCCCAGCAACCTGTGAATAGGCACTGTCACTGTCTTTTTTAACCTTTGAACCTACAGATAACACAGAGAAGAAATTTAATGTAACGATTTCATTGCAAAAGCAATTTATATGTGTAACAGGTAGTCTACAGATTCTGCAGTACAAAGTCAGTTACCATCATGTGCATTAATAACAAACATGTAAATGACATTTGATGCCATTGTCTTTTTTCCATGGAGACTAGTTCCACACAAACATTCTTCATCTGGTAAAGTGCATAAGTAAAAAAATAAAAGAAATCCTGATGTGGATCCAATCTAATTACACTGCGTAATCAAATGGATATATACATATCGATTTAAATATAAAGCTTACGATAAATAGAAAATTAGTTAAGTGTGATATATATGGGGTACTACATGTAGTTCAGAGACATTAATCAAACGTTACACCCTTTCACTCTCAATGTCTCATTGAGAGTAAAGTCTAATAATTAAATTTGATTTTAATATTTACTAGAGAATATTTTTCTGATGACAAAATTTGTTTTTCTGCTCTGTCAAAAATTTTCATTAAATTTTATTTTAGTGATGCAAAGTCAAGTGAAAATGGAATGTCTTGAAAAGGATCCAAAGCAGCAAAGCACCATTAATGGTATAATGGTTTTGGAGAATGCTGGACTCTTTTATTGTTCATGCTGGGGATAAAACCTTTGAAAACGAGTTATGAGGATTGTAACTCTGTTGCAACTCTGTTGTATATATGAGCATTTAAAATATATTACTACACCATTTTCTTCTCCTACCTGGTAGGCAAACTGTAATTCCGTTTCGTTGTGCAATCTTTTTGAAGTCTTCCAGAGAATCATCTTGTTGGACTTTCCCACCTGATGCAGCTGAGAAGAAAATTATTTTCAAGATGAATAGAAAGGTAACGGAAAAAAACTAGTTGAACTCCAACTTGAATGCATTTGTTACAATTTAGGGTGCTGCAGATGGGATTAAAATGTCATATGAGCTTCAGCTCAAAATTCTGACTGCAAGTTCCTCACTATCCTGATTTGCAAGAGTCCACCTGTACTCACATATGTACAGGCTAAAATACAGAAATCCATAAAATGTCAAAACCCACATAACCATGACAG